AATCACTGTATCTATATCTTAAGATCTTGATTCACTGATGTAATGTAAGTAAAGCGGAATATTGAACAAGGAAATGGCCATAATTTGGAAACTAGAGCTGATTTTCAAGCTGTACTCATAGAAAAATGTTTGACTTCCCGTCCAATAAGAAATATGTCTAATTGCACAATTCGAAATTAATGATTACTGTGCAATCTTGTGTCTTTCACAGCTATAGAGAAAACAGATTCTAAAAGTGAAAAAAAATTAGCTAAATATTCTACATATTTAGGAAACTACAAAAAGTCAAGTCTGTGGATTAAAAATAATCCACAAACAAAATAAAACAAAACCCCATTTATGTCTCATTTGGAATTTAGGCAGAAATAGCATTTATGGTATTTAAAAAAAATAACTAAGATGGCCATTGCTGGCAGGAAAAACAATGCAAAAAAAACCTAAAGACAGAGCCTATTCTGTGTTACCACAGGGAGACAAACTAATACTTTCATTCAGAATACAGTTCCCCTTACACAGACTAAATTCTCCTTCCTGCTTTTAAGCCCTCTGAGCTCAGAAGAAACTTGTTTTGTTACCCCAAAGCATCTTCCCTACTGAAGCACTTCAGTCTTTCTCATCCAATTTAGCTTCTAGTTTTAGGCTCTTCTGTTGTCTGTTGGCTCCATTTGTGTCATCTTCATTTGTGCAGCCAGACAGCGGGTACCTGAAGGCAGGTGGCCGTGCCCCACCCTGTGCCAAACCCTCCTCAGGGCAACAACAGTGCTGAACATCAGTAGGTGTGGAGAGTGGCTAAGAGCTCTGCATATCCTTCAAGTGTAGGTGGCCTCACCTACACGTTAGCCAAGTGATTTTCTGAACCGGAGTTTCATCAGCTGTAAAATGAGGACGGTCACACCATCAGCCTCTTGGAGTTGTGGGTGGACTGAGTGAAATAATTCACAAGTGCTTAAGCAGAGCACCTGGTACCCAGGAATCCCTCAGTCAGGGCAGCCTATTACCACTTCTGCTCCACACATATTCGCTGACCACCACAGGTAATTTGGAACCTTCTACCCTGTCCAGAGACAAAATGTTGTTTTGAAATTAGGAAGTCACTTTTTTTTTTTTTTCGGTACGCGGGCCACTCACTGTTGTGGCCTCTCCTGTTGCGGAGCACAGGCTCCGGACGCGCAGGCTCAGCGGCCATGGCTCACGGGCCCAGCCGCTCCGCGGCATGTGGGATCTTCCCAGACCGGGCACGAACCTGTGTCCCCTGCATCGGCAGGCGGACTCTCAACCACTGCGCCACCAGGGAAGCCCTGGAAGTCACATATTTTACATCTGCACTTTCATGCAAATGATCTTTCCTTGCCTGGGAAATCTGTATTTTGTCCTTTTTTTTTTAATTCACATTTTAATACTTTGGAACTCAGGTTGTGTCTTAAATCCAATCCTCTAAGTAGCTGAAAGATGTTTTGTTATCTTAGATTCCATCAAATACAGCATGAATTCTTCACATTCTTTTGAAGAAAGAGATTTAGAAAGAGAATTACAGTACTCAGAAGCCTCTATCTCTTCTTCTATGTTGCTCTTCACGCTTTTAACTCTGCCCCAGGAGCCCTGAAGCTGGCTTCAGAGTGCCGCCACTATTATCCTCTAAATGCCGTAGACAAAGGGACACTGCTTACTTCACCATGTACATGTCTTTTAAGCCATTTGATACCACTTCAAATGGAAATCACTTCACATTGATATCTACTAGTCTGAAGGCAGAAAGTCCTGGTTATTAGAGCTCCCTCACAATTAAAATGCCTATTTGGTCATGACTGTCTTGAAAAGCCCTAATGAGGTTGATATATGTTCTGATTTTTCCGAAACACTTAGGGGTTTTGCCTGTTGTCCCAGCATAATTATTAACACAACTCCTTTCATTCTCAGGAGTACCCTGGTTTGGATGATAAATTACATGATTGCCCAATGTGAAGACCAAGGTAGCTCTGAAATTTATGGCTTTAATGCCTTCTAGTTTAATTTCGTCTTTGTTATCTGTAAAGCTGGGCTTTTAGTCAATCTGTCATCCATGTGGTTCGGGCAGTGTTCATTCCTTCAGATTTTTGTCACACACTGGTTACACAGTGAGAAGCACAACACGCATGGCCCCAACTCATGGAGTTTACAATTTAGCACAGCACACAGACATTAGGTAATTACATACCCCAAACATCACAACTCCTCAGGAGAGGTACAAAATGTTACGATTGACTATAAAATATAACGCATGGGGAGGCAAGGTAGGACGTATGGGCAGTAGAAATACATCTGGATTGTTTTTTGTGTGTTTTTTTTAACATCTTTATTGGAGTATAATTGCTTTACAATGTTGTGTCAGTTTCTGCTGTATAACAAAGTGAATCAGCTATACGTATACATATATCCCCATATCCCCTCCTTCTTGCGCGTCTCCCTCCCACCCTCCCTATCCCATCCCTCGAGGTGGTCACAAAGTACCCAGCTGATCTCCTTGTGCTATGCGGCTGCTTCCCACTAGCTATCTGTTTTACATTTGGTAGTGTATATATGTCCATGCCACTCTCTCATTTCGTCCCAGCTTACCCTTCCCCCTCCCCGTGTCCTCAAGTCCATTCTCTACATCTGCATCTTTATTCCTGTCCTAGGATGCTATCTCATTTTAACCCAGTATTCATAATGTCATGGTGTTTGCCTTCCATTCATCTGCCATGAGGAGGAGACATTTCAGTACAAAGAGGCCCTCTGAAGATGGGCACTAAGTAGTAATTGTGAGTGTGTAAAGGGCAAGGAGCAGAAACTTAGTCCTTGGTTTCTTATTCAAGTGGCAAAACCGTGATAGGAGCAAAAGAGAGTGAGGGAGACAAGGACAGAAAACAATGCTATTTGGTATGGTTATGTTCCTTGGGGGTGAAAATTGTATCAAGTTTTCTGTTTCGTTTTTCTCCTGTATTCTTCTTGGAACATGGTTCTAAGCACATGGCAAAAATGCTCAGAGCATCTTGACTTGTGATGACTGAGAAAATGAAGCTCAGAGAAAGAAGCCACAGAACTCAGATTCAAACAGAGAAGGGAGAAAGTTACAAGGTGGCCTCTGGTGATGTTGGCTTTTCATAGTCCCTGGCTTCTGCCTGAGATCTGCAATGTCAGCACCCCAAACAGACTGTGGGTTGGCAATTTGGGGGAGGATGAGTGAGCATGAAGACCCTGACAGGGACTCTATAGCCTACAAATATGAAAAGTTTCTCCTCGGAAAGAACTAGGCGGGAGGTAGCAGAAAGGCAGTATGGGAGAAAGATCGCTTGTCAACAGGATTCCCAGTTATTGACAAAAACACCGGGTGTGTAAATTTACTTCCGAGATCATACATGATTAACTGGTCTGCTTTCCATTTATCCATTGCCTGAAGAGCATGTTTCCAATACAAATGGGACCTTCCAAAGATAGAAATTTAAATAATAATTATGTAAGCGCCAAGGCCAAAAAGAGAGAGGAAAAAAAAAGGATTGGTCCACAGTGCTTGCACGGAGAATCTATAAATTACGATGTTACATCTTCAACCACAGGCCCTGTACTAGTCCTGATAAATTCTAGATAAATGTCAACTAGTGGTGGGCAAAAATTTTATGTAGACAAATTTTCAGTAAATGAGACATAATTAAACTTAAAAACTCAGCAGATTCTTCAAGGATTAGAGATGACAGTGGCAGAGTCACATGTTGGTTGTTCATTTAACAATGCATAATTAATTAATGTATATATTTCGTATGTGTAATTAATGCAAGGTAGTATAGTAGACAGAGCTCTGACTTTAGGATCGGAGAGATATAGGTTTGAATCCCGGCAATGCCAGTTGTCATGGTCTCTCCTTGGCAAATCTTTGAGCCACACTTTTCTCATCTGTATAATGGGAATACTGTAATGAAATGTGGAGTCCTCTTTGAGTTTTGAGAATTTAACAGGATAATATATGAAAGTCCCTAGCAGTACCTGGCATATAGAAAGCCAGGTAAATAGTAGCTGCTTTGATGGTGATTAGGTTCAAACTTCTTATAAGTAACCTAGATGATACTTTAATGCCTCCAGGTCACAAATCTCATATTTTTTTTTTTTTTTGCAGTACACGGGCCTCTCGCTGCCATGGCCTCTCCCGCTGCGGAGCACAGGCTCCGGACGCGCAGGCTCAGTGGCCATGGCTCACGGGCCCAGCCGCTCCACGGCATGTGGGATCTTCCCGGACCGGGGCACGAACCCGTGTCCCCTGCATCGGCAGGCGGACTCTCAACCCCTGCGCCACCAGGGAAGCCCACAAATCTCATATTTAATACTGGTCTAACTATACCTGCTCAGCTCACTTATCACTTATTACAGAGATCAAGTGAGATCTTATATAGGAACTTGCCATTAAAAACTACGAACTCCTATATAAACATAAAGCATTATCCTTTTCTCTCTGTTGTCTGTTTGGGTTTATAGCGACTTGTGTTATTTGTCTTTAGCACAATTGCCCCAAGTGAAGGAGATACATTGCTTTTGCTAACTTCTGTCTGCAGCTTGCCCTCACAATAAGGTAGATGACAGGCAGATGTTAGGACTCAAATTTTCTCCCCAAAGAATTTTATTCCTACCCATTCTATTTCTTTCCCTTCATGCACTTCCTCCATTTCTCTTTCGACTAATTCATTTATATTTATTGAGCTCCTATATGTCACCTTTTCTTCTCTTTGTCTAGGCTTAGTTATAAGCAGCACCAACACTCACTCATTCTGGTCTTATTGTTTACAAACTGTGACCTTGGGCAGACGGAGCTCAATGTGCTCAGTTTTTGTTTTTTTTTAATCTGAAAAATGGGGACAATACACCTACCTCCAGGGATGTTGTAAGAATTAAGTAAGAATTAGATGTCACGTTCAACAAGGACCTGTTGAATGCTTCAGGTTGTGCATTCCCTCCTGTGCATTCAGACCAAGGCTGTCCCCTTGGACTTGACTCACCTGTGAATGATGCGCTGGCTCTGCAGGTAGTCCAGGGCCATGGCCAGCTCACAGATGAAGAGCTTCACAGTGTCTTCCTGGAAGCGGACATTCTGCTGCAGGTGATAACGCAGGTCCCCGCCCAGCAGCAGGTCCACCACCATGAACATGTCTTCCTCATCTTGGAAGGAGTACCTGGAGGGGAATTAGGAATGCAAGTGCGTTAAATACATTTACACACTAAAGAGGCCCAGAGGCAAAGGACACCTTACAGATCAGAGCAGAACTTTCCTAAGCTAAGGGTTCAGGCTTTGGGAGTACTGGTCTATTACTCACTCCAGGCCCTCCGTTTCCACAAGTGTAAAATGGGAATGATAAGAAGATCTTCCACATTTGATCATAGTGAAGACTAAATATGATGAGTATAATATTTAATGTCATTCCTGGCATATAGTAAGAACCCATTAACTGGAGGTCTACAAAGCTATAAAGCCCAGGAAATAAAGAACACCCCATTTATTCACCTATTATTAACGATCATATCCTGAACACACTGTTGCAGGAGGTCCATAAAATATGAGTTACAAGCCCTCCTTGAAGCACCTCGTGCTTATTTTTCCACACTAACAACTTCATTGCCCAGCAACATTATAACAAATCATGAACCACATAAATGATAAGAAAAAGATATAAAAAGGGCAATAAAGAAGTAAGTGCATAGTACAGGGCAGTAATTCGCTCAGTCTCTGGGATAAGGAGGGAAGGGAAATCTTCTCAGCAGAGGAGAAAACTGAGTTAAATTTTGAAGGATGGTGACAATAATAATAACTACAAAATAAAGCCAACACCTCTGGGGCAGACTCTAAAGGACTCCACAAATGTGGTGTCATTAACCCCACAATGCTGCTCTTATGCTCCCATTTTCCAAATGAGGAAATCAAGGCCCGGTGAAGCTTAAGTAATTTGCACGAGGTAGAACACCCAATAAATGGTAGAGGTGAAGGGGTCTCCAGGTCCAAAAGGAAGATCTGAGAGAGGAAAACAGCACGAATTAAGCACAGACATGGGAAAGAACACAGTGTGAGGGGGGAAAGGAAAATAGTTTGGGTTTGTTGGAACGACAGGTGTTACGGGGAAGCTTGAGCCTGGAGAGAAAGAGAGAGGGCAGATCCCATGACAGGAGCTTGTTCACGAGTCTGTACACGTTGGAAAGACGGTGAAGAGGTTTAAGCAGGACGTATGATCACATGGGGACTTCACACTTGAAGGAGCATGGGCTGGAGAGACGGGAAGAGGAAAGGAGACACAGGCCAGCAGAATTGGCCTCTGCTGTCTGCAAAGAGCCTTCTGTAAAAATGCATTCCAACTGCTATGACTCGTTTTGTTTTCCTCAAAGCACAGACATGATTTCTAGTCACAGAAAGCTCTCTGTATCAGCACTATGTCAACACGTTTCTTTTGACATCATGTCACTGAGATCGTATTTTCAAGTTTTATTTGAATCACAGAATTAAGAGTCTGCAAAGCAGTGCCCAGGATGCAAACGAATTCCTAGTGACAAGTTCTTTGCTTAGGAAACAAACATAGAATATCAATGATGGGAGAACTGTACTGAGTACATTTTCTTCTTTAGAGTGATCATTGTGCTAGAGGAGGAGAGGACTTGCAAACAAAAGAAAAAAGAGAAATTCAATGAAGCATTAATCTGAGGCAGTAACATTCTAATGAAGACTAGGTCCTCGGTGTTTACTTGCTCAGTAAATAAAATTCTGTTTACCACTGAGGACTGATTCACACAGAAGATGTCAGAAATTAAGCCCTTAGGGGGAATTTAGACAGAAACACGGGAAGGGCTTGTAAAAATGTGGGCAGCGCATCCTTGGTATTGTCTTTTAGGAAGTGTTATTGTTCACCTCCTTGCAAGGACTGGCTGGGCATCTCTGCCATAGGTTTAATGGGCACCAGGATAGGTTCCTGAACCTGGGCTATTTGGTTCCGAATCCTCCCAGCTGCACCACTACACGTTATATCCATTGTTTTACAGGTCTTTCAGGAAGTAATAATGTGCTAGTTATACGTAACCCTGCCCGGGATCTATTGCACGTAGGCTGCCCTTAGCTAATATAACAAACGATGATGGCTCATGGGGTGTGAGCAGTGTCTTCTTGGGATAGCTGGCAAATGAGGTGGCTGAGAACTGGGTACCAAAAGAAGGGAGAAGAGAATGCTCACCATGAACGTAACTCGCTGCCAATGGATACAACCCAGGCAGACTGGGTTCGCATAGAGAGCAGTGATTGGCTGCATTCAGCTCCCCACTGGAGGCAGGCGGAGGTCCCAAACCCGGTGACAGAGAAGAGGACTCCTCTCCCATTACTCTATTTAACTCGAAGTGAGGGACAAGTGTATTATTAAATTCACCCTAAGTGAACGAACATTTTTATTGCGACTTGGGCTCAGCGATTTTTATTCAAAGAACAAACTGATAAAGGTGCCAGTTGTGTCAAGTTAACGACAGTGTCCGGCCACGCAGGGGATTATTAGAGAAGAAGCAGCGCAGGCAAGAGGCAACATGCTTCCCTTGGCCAGTATGATTTTAAATTTATTTAATCATGGAGCCAGTTGGTTGTTAAAAATCCTTTTTCCCCTTCGGCACATCAGACCTGAAGCCCTCTATCACAGATCCTAGACTCTCAGAGGGAGAGAAGATAAGATTTTAATTTCCAGGACTATATCCAGTAACATATGTGGGCACAACACAGTTTGGTAATAACTAGGATATGAAGGTTCATATCATAACCTGATTGTTTAAACCTAAAAGTGAAAGAGCTTCCCTATACCTTGGCCATTTATCCCATAGACTCAATGATGCATTTCCAATACTTTTTAAAAATGCTATATCATGGCTTATTTGTTAGTTGACAGCTCCAAAATTAGTAAATCTGGTCCCACTGCATGTGAAATGCATTGTAAAGTCTGCTCAGTAAGAACGGAGATAAGTAACAAAGGACCACCACCCTGCTCCACCCTACTCCATCATATTGCCATAGACTATACACAGCTCTCTCTGTGTAATGTTGAACCTCTCCAATTCGTTCTACACACCATGGTTATGTTTTTACAATGTGAGTTTTATGTTATGCAGCCCCATAAAACCCCTTCACCTCTTTCCATGGTCCGCAGGACCCTGTGTGGTCTGGCCCTGTTTACTTTTCCAGACTTATTTTGAAGATCTTTTCCTTCCATTACTCAACTAGCAGTTCATGCCCCCTCCAGCTTTAGAAGACTGTGATATGGTATGACCTTGCCTGCACGCACAATGCTGTCCACTACCTGGTTATTGTCTCTTCCTCTTTCAGTCTCAGCCCAAAGGACACCTCACAGAGACATTTCTAACACTCCATATCAAACCTTGTCTCCCTGTTATACACAGTGCCGTATTCTTGTTCACTCAACTTATCATAATTTGAAAATATTTTCCTGCATGCTTTTGGATTAACAGCTTTCATTCCCACTCTGCCATCAGGAGGCATGCCTGTTTTTACTCATCCTTCATTCCTCGGTCCCTGTATGCTTCCTGAAATGTAGACTCTAAAAACAGTTGTAGAAAAAGTAACAAATTCATGAATGAACTAAAAAAAGGAAAGAGAAAAGCAAGATTAAAACTCAGGTTTGGGGCTTCCCTGGTGGCGCAGTGGTTGAGAGTCCGCCTGCCAATGCAGGGGACACGGGTTCGTGCCCCGGTCCGGGAAGATCCCACATGCCGCGGAGCGGCTGGGCCTGTGAGCCATGGCCGCTGAGCCTGCGCGTCTAGAGCCTGTGCTCCGCCGCAACGGGAGAGGCCACAACAGTGAGAGGCCCGCGTACCGCAAAAAAAAAACAAAAAACAAAACTCAGTTTGGGTGGGTCTGATATGCATTTGTTAGGTTCTAGTTTTAGAAATTAGCATGGCTACCAAATCAGTCACTCACCTTCTTGAAGCTGTCTCATGCAGGCCACTTTGAAATAAATCTGAATTGGAGCACTGGAAGAGATCTATTTTCCAATGGAGGGTTTTTCAAATTGTGGCTCATAACGCACTAATGGTTGTGAAATCAGTTTGGTTGGTCCTAACAAGCACTTTTTTGGAAGAAATAAAGTAGACTGAATAAAATAAAATAAATGCTATTAACATATAAGGCCAAACATTGTTTTTGTGAATATAACGTGTGTCTCTGTGAGTATATCTACTGGGTTGTGATGAAAAATAGATTTCTTCCCGTGGGTTGAAGATAAAAAAAGCTTGAAAACCGTGACACTAGGGCAACCTGCTGCTTATTCCAGAACTATTGTATCAAATCCCATTCAGACTTTACCATTTCTGATGTCTGTCAGTTCTGATGTCTCCATCTAGCAAAGCATGGGAAATGCAGGACAAATATTATTAGATATTGCTTTTTAAAGCTCTCAGCTTTTGTAGAAAAAGGCATTGATTCATCAAAGATGGAATCCATTTAAAAACATATTTAAGGAAAATACAAATGGAAAATGCATAGGCTTTAGGCAGCCCTGGGTTTAAATATCACGTGTGAATCTGGAGCAAGTCCCTTAAAGGAAACTGAAACTCTGAGAGGATATTTGTACATTGGAAATGATTTTATGTACCACGTGGCAAAGAGCAAAGTAGATATAATGTTTGTAAAGTACTTAGCGCAAAGCATGGCTCAGAGCATGGTGGTAAGGAACTTGGCCCTGGGGACAGACTGCTTGTGTTTAAACCCCAGCTCTGCCCTTTAACATCTTTAAAACTGGATGGAGCAAGTTATATAAGCCCTCAGCATGCCCATCTATAGTAGTATATACCTCATAGGGCTGTTGGGAAGATCAAGTGTAGTTAATACACATAAAGTGCTTAAAAGAGTACATGGAAGTACTTGGAAGATAGCTATTATAATTACCTTTCTTCTTCCACCCATGAATGTAATATAACTCTGGTATTAAGCAGATTAACTTGTTTTATGCAATTGTTTCCTATTATTTTATATGAGGTAATTATATGAAGATACTGATTGATTTATAGTTGATTTACAATATTGTGTTAGTTTCAGGTGTACAGCAAAGTGATTCACTTATACATACATATGTATATCTATATTTTTTAAATTCTTTTCCATTATAGTTTATTATAAGATATCGAATATAGATCCCTGTGCTGT